CGTTACAATTGGGTCCTTTGGTGGCATAAAGAGCCATTTAGTCCCCATTTGGCGCGGGATGAATAGAACCAGTTCAGCGGCCACCACCCGGGCCCCAGTGACATCCACAAGGGTGGTGGTAGTGGTAGTGGTGGGGGTGCTCACAATGTGCCTGTTGTTGAACCGTGCACCGACTTGCATGCGGCTGTGTAGCGGGTCGGGAGGATGCAGGGGCCCCTTGTTTACAGCTCTGATAATGTGACAGCCGCCATGATCGCCCTCCATCTCTCCTTCTTTGTGATAAATCTTAAAAAATGAGAAACAGCTTGTCAACTTTTCACAAGATCTTCATTGTAAAGATCAGTTGGACTATTTGGCACGCGCCGGCCCGATAATCGATAACAATTAACACTGCACTCCCCCCCCCCCCCCCTTCCTCATTGTGATGCTGGTGTTGCTGAGAGTGTGGCCTGAGGCAGAATAGTTTGCAGCGAGGCCGCACTCCTGCTCCTTGTGAATTCTCAGATTTGTTCCCACTCATTTCCGTTTTGTTCACCTGCAGCATGTGCAAAATGCCCTTTTTTTTATGTTTGGGCACACGTTCACTGTGTGCGTGTGTCTAATCCATGTTTATCCTCACCCCACCCTCATCGCTGCGGAGATTATCCTGCGTCACAGCGCTTTTTTTTTTAGAGCTGATAGGAGCTCTGTGCTTCAGAGAGCCTGGCAAAGCTCCAAGGACAAAAAGCAGGAGGGCGCTTGGAGCCGACGTACAGTCAGACCTACATTATGTTCCCGCCAGTGGCACAACTTGAGGGTTTTTCTTAGGGTGGCAAAGGCGAGGTCTCGGGGGGGGAGGGGGTCGTCAATACTGTCACAGAAAAGTTTTGCTTTTAGTCTTAAATTTAAGCACTTGGATTATTTAAGTGTACAAATTATACAAATTAACACGTAACTGAGTGGTATTTGTCATGTTTCTCCTAGTTTCATCAGAGATTCACGGTTTTGGTCAGTTGTTGACACTTTGATGGTTGGGAGGTCTTGAAATCGTCGCCACTCATAATAATTTCATGTTTGTTGGCAGGAAAAACCATTTCAGATTTCAAGAGGGGTATGCAAACTCAAAACCATTGAGTTAGTAGAGATGGACGTTTTGTGGAGATGTCCTTGACGTTCAATATTGTGCAAAATGCACACAAATAATTTACTGACCTATAAAGGGGTGAGATGTTTTAAACTCTGCCACTGTTTACCCTGAGCCTTTATCGAACTTTCGAACAGCAGAGATACGATAAAGGCAGCGCTCAACAGTTCTTTTCACTTTGCATGTGCGTCACTTGGTCATTAATCAGCGTGCAGAGAAGAAGGTGACGCTCCAGAATGGTGACACCGCACCGTGCACACACAGGGGGAAAAGAGGCCTCCGCTGAGGAGGAGACGATAAGCCGAGCCAGTGTTTGTTTTTGTTTCCACACCACGGGTCACGGCGAGGTCAAGTAGAAACAGGAAACAAAAGAAAAGAGGCAGAAAATAATTTTTAGTTTGTAAAAAGCAGTCCTTTCGTTTCCTTTGTTTACACGTCAACCTTTAACATGAAACGACACCGAAATACCGAACCCAGTTCCGCCAGGCAGCCGATGGTTTTCTGTTTAATTGTGCGAGTCGGAGCTGTGCTCAGCAGTCTGCTCCTTAAATGCAGCCCCCCTCCCCGTTTCCCCCCCAGCCTTCCTCCTCTTGCTGCTGTGTGACGGATTGGTTGGCCCTCGGGAGTTGTTTGTTGCCCAAACTATTCTTAGCTGCAGGCCTGGGCGTCCACATGAAGCCTTCTACATGTTTCTGTCTCTATGGTGTGATGTTGTGTTGGAGGTTTTGTCCCTGAACAGCAGACTCACTGACATCTAACAAGACGCTGTGGGACATTGGACACCCTGAAGTCCTGCAGCTCCTCTTTCTTACTCCAGTTATTGATGGTTAATATTTTCTGCTAAATACTTAAAAATCGCTTAAGCTATTAATCATTTATTTAAAATTTGCAGGAATGTTAGGCTAATGTTTTAGTTTTACCCGGAATGTGAATTTCTGCATTCCACCAGGTGCTCTCTCCTGACCTTTGACCCATGCAACCTCTTGGTTATGATACAGATGCCTCTTGTGATTGTTTTGAGCACACAGGTTGTGAAGTCTTTTCATTATTGTTCTTCAAGAGAAAAATGGTCCATTGCCCACAACTGGAAGGAGGAAGGCAGGGAAATTTTGTCTGCATTTGCACATATCTGTTAGCAAAATATCTCATAAGCAGCTGGATGGATACTAATGAAACAAGTAATTTTTGGATGTACATCTATAACTGATTAACTGTTGCATTAAACCTGATTTAAGATGGCTGCCACAGCTAACCAACCTGAGCCAACACAAAATGGCTATAACTCAGTCAGTGTTACAAATACTGAGTGAAATAAAATGTGGTGTGGTAGTAGCTGAGAGTCCTCCCTAATCATATTATCAGCGCTGCACATTGCGTGAGATCTTTGCTTAAAATGTATGCATTAACCTTGCCTGTCTGTTAGCAAAATATCCTCTAAACAAATTTGTGTAAAACTGAGAAAACAATCATTGAGTGTGCATCTACAACAGATCAGGTTCTGATTTAGGACGGCAGCCACAGCTAGTCAACCGATTAGAGACCGAGATGGGGTAGAGGTAGGGCAGCCGACCTGGGACCAGAAAGTTGCAAGTTCAACTCCACGCCATTCCCACATGTCGTGGCGTCTCTGAGCATGACACCTAATCCCTAACTGCTCCCCGGGCACACACATAGCTGCCCACTGCTCCACCTGGGTGCACCTCAGGTGTGATGGGTTAAATCCAAAGAGCCAGTTTCGTCATTGTATGGGAACATACAATGTATGGGAACATACAATGAAGATTTTCTTCTTCTTCAACTTTAGTCAACACAGAAATAGCTTTGTTCTACTCAGCTTTACATATATTATACTAAAACTTGATGTGGTAATAGCGGAGAGTCATTTATAGAACGCACTGAGCACTTCGTGCACAAAGTTTCTCATAGAGTGAAACTATAACGTTGTCATTTCACATCATGAGATGATTTCAGTTTACAACTTTAGTACCAGGTAAAATGTGTTCCTTCGGGATCGCTAGGCCTTCACTTTATTCTTATGTCTGTCCCAGCTGCTGCATTAATTCTGTAAAGTGAGAATTTAAATATTCAATACCATAAATCAAGAAGAAGTATTAGTAAGTTGTTGGTTGATTTGGTTTTTATCCTTCCAGTTTGTCTTCATGCAGACAGAGAGGCTGCATGCAATACTCATCGCAGTACAGGAAATGGGACAGATGTGATTTCTCAACATCGTCTGTGCTTAAAGGCACACATGGGTTGGACCCTTACCCCTCACCACCACACGCACACATACACGCAAACACACGCACGCTGTTTCAGTTCTGTCAAATGTTGTTGAAGCAGGACTGGCTGCGGGAGCTGAGGTCCCTGTGTGGGGGGATGGGAATGTTGAGACAGGAGGGAGAGAGGCCGTGTGGGCTGTGGGTGTGGGGTGTGAGAGCTCTCAGTAGGCTGATTAATGTGCCCCAGGTCACAGCAATAAAAAGCGGCGTGGCAGCGACGCAGCAGTGAGGCGCTTCTTTGCAATGATTGAGGAGTCGAGCTTCTCTGCTGTTCCTAGCGCCGAAGAGTCAAGCCAAACCTCCCTTTTTTCTATTTAAAGCAAATTATAAAGTGGCAGCCTCTTACTTCAACCTTGTGCTGACTCTTTTTAACAGCACTTCCTGTAAAAAATAAAATCCTGGTATTAACACTTAGAATGTATCATGGGGGAAAAACTTGAACAGTCATTAGTTTTTATTTTTTTTTATTATTTATTTTTGGTGCTGTCAATAACTTGACTGTTATCTACGAAGCATAAAAATCCTTCAAAATTCTTTTTACTTCGTCAAATTAGTTTTTAAAGACTCCTGTAATCTCACAGTAAGATTACTGCCCTCTAGTGTTCTGTAGGGTAAAAACTGACCCTATTCAAATCCCATTATAAATGCATTTTTAAAAATCCCATCTTTACCTTCTAAAATAAAGCATTTCTTTCAGTAATTTTTTAAAAATATATATTTTATGTCTATTACTGTACTTGCATTAGCTCACATCAGGGTGCATCAGCTGATGCATCGCTTTTACATTTAAGGGTAAAAATAGTAAAAATTGTTGACGAAGCTGTAATTTGTGTAGAAGATATTCAAATTTCTTTTTAATAAAAAAAAAAATTCTTATTGCAGTTTGAGCAAATTTTGGCATTTTATTTTAGTTTGCACCAACTGGATAGAAATACAGGTTTATCGCTTCTACACTTAAAATATGTTTAATGTTCACCCCTTATTTATGCAAATCCTCACCTGTTTTTTAAGTCATGCATTTGCTAGCTCAGTTTTTGGTTCATCATACGTACACATGTTCCAAACTGTCTCTGTTCTCCTCATGCTTTGCTTTTGAGTGTGTTTTGCTGTGAGGGTATTGTTGATCTGTGGCTCTGTGTTGGCGGGCAGTAAATAGTCTCCCACCGAAGTGGTCTGCGATGCATAATCTCCCTTCGCTCCGCTGGGCAAGCCAGTTGGGAGCATGGGTCAGAGAGGGCATAGAGAAACCAGAGTGCGAAGAACGTGACTGAATAGACCCGACCCCACCATGCTTGTCTAGTCCACAAGGCGTCAGGCGTGCATATTGAGGGCTAGGAGGAGGGGGGCAGGGGGCACCACAGCAAACAGTGCTATTGTGCTTATTCCCTTTACTATCATATTACACACCCAGCTCTCTGTATTTATTTAAAAAAATGTCACTTATAGATTTAAAAGGGATAATTTTGTCAAAATGTTAATGGAAGGGATGTAGCAGGATGTCTGTGGTGATGTGCATGTGACAGAGCCAAGTCTCTAACTGCTAACTGTTTGCTTATCTCCACAGGGCAACATCTGTTCGTGATGTTGATGCTGAGGCACAGATCAACCTGGAACTAAGACAAGGAAACCCCGTCACACAAACCATGGCAAGTCCAAGTCATTTGTCATACGAGTTACAGTTGTATCAAGGGGAAAATATACCTCTGCTGTGCGCACATGTTTGATTGACTGCTGTCCTAATAAACACATTTTTCACTTTGCTGCAGGTGGATGCAAGGTTGACGCCCCTGGCAGCAGTGGGGCTGGACCGGAGCACTCTGATTCATGACAGTTTCCGTCTCCACGGTGGGGTTGTTTATCCAGGAATTAGAGCACTGCCAACGGAGAAAACCCGAGATACCCCCACCCTCCCGCTCTCTTATAACAGGGATGTTCTTCCAGAACTCATTTACAAGCCGGATTCCTTGCTAGATAGTCGCAAGACTGCAAATGGGTACCTGGGCCTTTACAAGGGTACCCATCCGAGCCTTCACAAGCCTGTGCTGGTTCCTGGAGCTGAGGGTCTTGGCATTGAACGCAGAGTAGGACCTGGAGAAAAGGCCTCAGAGTTTGGTTTGGCTGGTGCTGGTGGCAGCTACCTCCGCATGCCATGGCTCAGCCCCTACCCTGAAGCAAGCATGTTTCCCTTTATGGACACGTCCAAATACGCAGCTCTAAACATGTACAAAGCCTCACTGCTCAGCCAGCCTAGCCCCTATCTCCCCCAACACCTGCCCTACCCATCTTTGTGTGCAGCCCAGGGACCCAATGTTACCTCTGCTGCAGCTGTTTCTGCTGCTGAGAGGCTCTATTATATGCCTCCATATCCTCCCCCACCAATTTCTTCTTCCCTGGTGGCCCCTCCCATGAGGATTCCTGCAGTCACGGTGGCCCCTACATCGCTGGTACACTGCCAAGACAAAGGGCTTGGTGTTGCATCTCCCTTTGCACAGCAGCTTCATCAAGCCTCTCCTCATCCTCAGCACCATCAGGCAGCTATAGATCGAGAGCGGTCTCCAAGCAGGAGCAGCAGACCAAGCAGACCTCCCTCTAGGAAGGGCACAAGCAACAACAATAACACCAGTAGTACCAGCACTAGTGGCACCAGTGTTGAGAATAATAACAGTCTGCCTGCTGATTCTTCTCATGTGACTGCTCGCCTCCCCCCGCCTCCGCCTGCTCGCACTGATAAAGCACTGGATTTACAAAGGCCAGTTGCCAGGATAGGGCAACCATCCACCTCCTCCGTGTCTTCTGCGTCTGTATCATCTTCCTCTACGCCATCCGTTTCTCATTCTTTTTCAGTCAGCAGCATGGCGTCGGAACAGCCCTCCCCTGCTCGGCCCAGCCCCCACAAGTCCAGACAGAGAAATGCATCCTCAGAGCACAGAGCTGCAGGGGAAAAAGTACGCAGCAGGTCTCCTTCCAAAGTTAATTTTGAGAGGCCTGCTCACCAACCCCAGGCAACCAAAGACTCGGCAGAGAAGCCCCTGGATCTGTCTGGAAGAATGGACTTTGGGCTTCCTGCCAATGGATTTCCTGTTAAGATCGACACAATGACATCTGGGCCACGTTATGGACTTCCCCCCAGCCGAGAGCTTCTGAAAGAAAACATGTCTCTGTCTCCCTCTTCTCATCCTCATTCTGTAGTCAGCAGCACTTCTTCAAAGGTCTCTGAGAGACCAGAAATGATAAGCACTTTACACTCGTCCTGGATTGTACCAAGTCCGTCTCCCTCACACACACAGCACGCACCAGGCTTGCCCCCCTCTCCAAGATCTAACACAGACCTGGGCATTTCACAAGCCAAAGGTTCCTCACCCTCAGTCATCAAAAACAAGAGCTTGGAGAGGGTTCTCCCTCAACAACGAAGCTCCTCTTGTCCAAGGATTGGAGATCCTAGTCAAAACGTTCCCTCTTCTCAACCATCTGGTTCTTCTCTGATGAGCCCCAGGGCTTTTTCTCCCAAACCTAGTGGGGAGTGGAATAAACACAGCCCCAGCCAGTCAGAGCATCACAGAGAGGCAACAGAGAAGTCCTCCCAGGTCGGTAAAAGAGGTGAACCAGCTCCAGATGTGTCGTCATACAAGAGGCCGTGTTTGGAGAATGGACATCCTACTGCCCACATTTATCTTCCTCAAAGTGAAGCTTATCTGAACCACAGCTTGGCTTATGCCAATAGATATCTGCAGTACCCCATCCCTGACAGCATGGCTGTACACTCTGTGCCCATTACAGGGAAAGGCTCGGTCTACCCTCCCTCAGTACTGCTGGGCAACAACAGTCTTTACCCAACACACTTGGCAGCAAAACACCCTTTACCCTATCACAACCTCCCCACTGGTTCAGGAGAATACCTCTCTTATAACTCACAAGAGATGGCCCATCCACTGATGCAGACGCACCCTGACAGCAAGCTGCCAGAAAGGGCAGATGCATCACTGAAACCCCGAGGACAGGAGAAGTCACGGGGGGCTGTCGAAGAATATGGGAGCCACAGAGATAACAATACTGGGAAAGAGACAGGTGAAGGCAACCAAATGAAGCACGACAAGGATGGACAGGGTGGCAATCAAAGCAAAAACTTCTCTTTGTCTGCAGCATCCAGAGAAAAGATCATCTGCATTGACCTTGTACACTCAGACACGGATATTGAGTCTACCCCACCGGTCCACAAGCAGCCTTCTGTCGAGGGTAGCAACAAGGTTAACCAAAATGAATGTCACACTAACCAAAATCTGACAAAGACTGACTGTGAACCAAAAAAACAACCGTATCCAAGCCACTCTGAACAGAACCCTATTCTAAAACCTGTCGATGGACAGCAACAAGCTCCTTTTGAAAAAGCGAGGGTTCTCCAGGACCTAACTTATTCTGCAGTGACAACTAGCACATCCCAGACCTCTCCAGAGGAGGTCTTTGAAGCAGAGGAAAGCTCAGACGAGCACAGCCTCAGCCCAGACCCTGCAGATCAAGACCAGAGCACCTTGCGTTGTGCTCGCACCTCAGGGGAGCGCAGCTCTGGTAAGGACAGAAGAGACCAAGATGGCGGCGCGCCTCAACTTGCGCAGCACAACGCTAGAGTCCTGAAGGAGTTGGACCACGGTGAAAGGGAGACTGACAAAGAGGACAGTATTGTTGATTTAGGGGAGTCCCACGGAGAGGGGGATGAGGAGGAAGAAGAGGGTGGCCACGCATCATCTAAAAACTCTCGTAGATCCAGTTTGGCTAAAAGGATTGCTAACTCCTCAGGCTACGTTGGCGACCGTTTTAAATGTGTCACCACAGAGCTGTACGCTGACTCCAGCAAGCTGAGCCGCGAGCAGAGAGCTTTGCAGGTAAGTCTAAGAAACATTAAATGTCTCTTCTTAAACCACGTTATGTACCGGGCTAAGTTTGGCAGTAGGCAGACATTTCACACATCCTTTTTATTTCTTTTAAAAATGATAACACGTGTAACCACGCAGAGTAAACCTCGATGGGCTGCTCTCTTTATTCCCTTGCCGCCTGTGGAAACTGCACGAAACTCATGCATTTACAACTCAGTAAAAGAATAAGTGCTGTCGTGCTGCCGTCCTGGCTGTAGGTTTGATTGTCCCCTTTTAGTATATCATTGTCTTGATTTTCGGCCCTCTTTCCAGAATGGTCGGTTCAAAGGTTAAACCGAACTGCCGTGTCTGTATGTTGATTAGTGAGCAGCCATTGTAAAGGTCATTCTGTGAATGTTTGTGTGTCTGTACGTGCTCGTCCTTGTGGGACTGCCTTCGGGCTAAAAGCATGTGTTTGTGCTGACTGTGCTTTGGAAACATATACAGTGGCTTCAGAGCATGACTGTGGCAGCCTCACAGATCAGATCGCCTTTGGCTACATTTAACCCTCAGGTTAGGGGCAGTGCTTTCTTGCAGGGCGCTTTAACAACCAACAGCTGCCCTTTTTTGGAGGGTTCCTCTTAAGTTTTCTGCATGTGTGCCAGTCACTATCCTCCCCCACTTACCGTCCTCACTTCGATGGCCCAACCTGGTTGCTGTCCAAGGTCATAATCATCCTCACCCCGTTGTCTAAAGGACCTCGTATCCTAAAATGCAACACGTGATCCCTTTAAATTCAAAATTACACACTGTCATCCATTCACACAGATCAAGTCACTTGTTTTAGTCACCGCTGCGATTTTCCGTACGTATAATGCTAGAAATCACAAAGAGGCTCTGTTTTATTATCCACATGGCTCTGAGGCAGATTTCTTAACTGGTTGCACATGTCTGTTATGTTGTGAATGCATTTGGGGGAAAGTGTGGTTTTGTCTGTCATGCATTTCCAAAATAATATAAAAAAAATCACAACTGCAACAAAGCTATCAAACTCTGCATTTCTGAGAGTATTTAAAATAGAATAAGGCCTGTTTGGATAAAAAAAAACAAAAAAACTTAAACATTACAACTGATTGTTTTTTTTATTTTGTTACTTTCAGAAATGACTTTGAGAGTTTTAATGCAGTTTATTTTGACTGTCATTTTTGCGGGACTGTGGCTGCTTTTTTTGTGTGTATGTGTAAGAAAATGATGTGGAGAAACAAATTAATAAAAAAAAAAAGATGAAATGCTGGACAGATATATTGAGCCCCCCCATTCTAATTGCTTAGATGGAAGTCTTATCACGAGAGGGGAGTAATATAAGCCAACCTGCAGCTATCTGGGAGGTCAGTTCTTTACATTTCTTATCACATTTATCTCTGACAGGCTCTGTCTCCTTTTTGTATTCTGTATCGCTGCACACTCCTTTTTTGCCTCCCTTTTTGATTTCCCTCTCTCTCTCTCTTCTCTCTGCCTCAGGGCTTAGATGTATATGTTTCCTAGCCATGTTTATGTTTCAGGAAGGGAGATGCCAGGACTTAAGCCCCAGAGCGCATGGACTCACAAGTGGCTGCACTAGTCTAACCTGTGTCTTGATGCTTGTGATTTATCTGTCCTCCTTTTTGTCCTGTCTGTTTTTGTTTGTGTGTAAATGGGTTTGATTTCTTTGACGTTTTTCTTTTACATAAAGACAATGCGATTTCTGATGCAATTTATGCTTCTATAGCTTTTGAGAGTTTTATATATAATATGTGTGTGTGGGGGGGAGAGATGGTGTTTTCATGTGTCCTCTCTGCATTTTTGTGTGTGTTTGCGCAGCGGGCGATGATGCGGTTCTCGGAGCTGGAGCTGAAGGAGAAGGAGGGCGGCGGCGGGGTGTGCGTCTCTGCCTCGGCAGCAGGACGGGAGCTGGCAGACAGCCAGCGCAGAGAGCGCACGCTGGAGCACTGCCAGCACGCCACTAGGCAGGCAGAGAGCGAGGGTGAGTAACACACATACACACACGACTGTAGAGACGCACACAGACAATAGGTGCGCATGCACACTGTAGCTCATGTGCACTTGCAGCAAATGCTGGGGCAACGCGGGGGTCGCTCTAAAAAAAGGCACCTTTCTGCACAAACGCAAGTCAATGAGTCGAGCGGGCCGACGAGCGCACCGGAGGAAGACGGCGAGAGGGAGTTTTATTTTCAAGAAGCCTTTTGTGCTTATCTGCTCCGAGAGACGATGGAGAGGGAGGGCAAGAGGAGGTGGGGTGGGGGGGGGGCGTGATTGCGTGAGTGAAAGCAGTGGTTGGATGGGTGGGGGCGAGTTAGTGGGTGGAAGCGGATGGGAGAGCGCAACGGAAAGAGGAGGCAAAGTGGAGTGGGGGGGGGGG